ACCTAACCTAACCTAACCTAACCTAACCTAACCTAACCTAACCTAACCTAACCTAACCTAACCTAACCTAACCTAACCTAACCTAACCTAACCTAACCTAACCTAACCTAACCTAACCTAACCTAACCTAACCTAACCTAACCTAACCTAACCTAACCTAACCTAACCTAACCTAACCTAACCTAACCTAACCTTTTGGAAAACGAGAGGAACGACGGTGGCGCTGGCCGCCTCGACGTAGGTGGCCGGGAGGAAGACTTGCTGTTCGAAGGAGGAGTGGGTGAGCCGGAGGGCGTGTACGACGTTGGCTGCGTTTTCGTCTTCAAAGTAGGCGTCTTGGAAGGGGCGGAATTTGTTGAGCCACTCGAGGAATACAGCGATGGCGTCGAGCCGTCGCTTTTTGACTTGGCTGCGAGTTCGGATGAGGCGAGGGGGAACGATCCGAGGTGGGACACGTTTGGCGGTCTTGCGGTCGGATGGACCCTCCGTTCGTTTGGATGACTGAGGAAGAGACATGACGAGAAAGGCCGCGTCGAGATCGAGGAGGTACACCGGCACCGCCAGCGTCCTACGTGGCGCGAAGGTGTGAGCGAGAGAGGAGGAGGAACTAGAGGACGTGAAGGCGTGTACGCGCGTCGATGACGTCACGGGCGCCTAAAGCAGCTCACGCGTGAGCTGGTCAGACCCGGGGACGTGGCTCAGCATCGAGTGGGTGGTTTTTAATGCGAAAACAATCATGGAGAGTCGAACCGGGGCCTTTTGGACTCTGTGACTGGACGTATACGGCTGGTGGGCTGTGTGTTCTTACGCTTAGCGCAGGAGCTCAAGCGGGCGTTGCGGAAACTCGAGTGTTTTTGGGCTGTGCGGTGGACTTGGTACGGTGACACGCTGTCATGGTAGGACTGGGCGGAGAATGTATTATCATGGCTATTGTATGACAATTCGTAAAGCGAGAAGCACGACGAGCAGGAGCAGCAAGAAAGTAGGTTAGACGAGAGGTGAGTACGATAAGAGAGCTACGAGGACGACGGACGGACGGACGAGCGAGAACGAGAGAAGGAAACGGTACGGGAGCATAAGGGGCGGAGGAACAATGTATGCGAGGGGAGTAGGAGCGAGGAGGACTGCAGACAGAGAAGCATATGAACAAGAAGTAGGGGGATATGAACGAAGGATGCGAAAACAAAGCGAAACGAAACAAAAAAAAACCCCCCAGCATAGCCATCCATCGAGCTCTAAGACGAGACCTTGCGCTTCTTGGTGGGTGGTCCTCCATCTGGGGAACCAGGTTCATCTTGCCGTGGCCTGTTGGAGGCGAGGATGTGTCTCCAACCGTTGGCGGTCTTCACCCACTTGAGGGCCTCCTTGTCGAAGCTGAGGACGATCGAGACGCGCTCACCCTCGAAGTGGAGGTTGTAGTGGGTGATGGAGCGCGAGGGGAAGAACAAGACCTGGCCCGGCCTGAGGTCGATGACAAGCCCGAGCTCATGGAGGACGAGTTGGCCACCTTTGAAGGTGGCCAGGGTGGTGACGGCGCAGGGACCAAAGTCGTTGTCATCGACATGACCGTCGGTGGCGACGCGGAGGTTGAGATGGAAACCGGTGAAGGGCGACGTGGGTGAGGGCCTGTCCATCGGCTGGATGTCGACGTATCCGCGGAACTGCTTCACCTGGTGTGGCAGATGGGCGAAAGCCTGTTGGGATCGATGAGTATCTGCGGGCTCTGGAGGAGAAAGGAGCTTACTTTGGCCGCTACATCCTGAAAGATGGGCTCGAGGGCGTTCGCGAGCAGAGAGTGCGCCCATAAGTGCTTCTTCATTTCGGCGGTGGGACCGGGCAAACGTTGGGACTCGTTATCACCACGCGCAGAGGCACTGGTGATGTCGATGGGGTGCTGATCTCGTGGCGCGTCCTCTCCCTGTGGGTGCATAAACGTCAGGGTTAGGAGGATGTGGATGGTAGGCGAAGAGAGAACAGACTCACGGACTTGCCGAACCGATTGAGGGTGTGGAAGTTGTAAGTGCCGTACGTGTAACCCTCTTCTTTCGAAGAGGACTTCGTGATGCCGCCGGGAAAGAGGAGCTCGATGGTGCTGGTGATGCGCTTGAGCCGTTCCGGAGTCGCGGAGGGGAGTTGGGTGCAATACAGCATGCCGTAGTTACCCTCCGCGTCCTCGACGAGGAGATCGGAGCTGTGTAGGATGCTCAGTTTACGGCACCTGCAGGTGGAGAGGGCAAGATAGGACGTACCCATTGAGCATGTCCGCCGATATGTTGATGAAGGAGTCGTGTTTGCGGGTTCCGTCGGGTAGGAAGTGGTGATCTCGCACCTTGGAGAAAGGGTGAGCGCGAGCGTGCTCTGAGGTGGACGACGTTCACTCACATATTCTTCCAGCTCCGGGACATCGTTCACCGTCTTCGCCTGCTCGGCAAGCGGCCTGTGGAACTCCGTCCATGCCTGGCGCCGTGGCTTTGGCATTCCACGCGTCGGACTGCCCTTCGCCTTGATCTCGTGGGGCCAGACGACCTTCTGCGGCGTGGACTGAGGGGGAGCGGGTTGGCTGGGGGCGGTGGAGACGGCCGTTGGAACGGGGGAGACCACGAGGGGGGTGCATTCTTCCCAAAATGACGAACGGGGAGGCAGTTTGAAACCCCTGTGAGCGTTGGGAGTCAGATTGACGAGGGTGAAGAGTGTGCTAAGGGCGATAACGTACTCGTGTGCAATGGTGGCCAGGACTTGGTCCGTCTTGGCGTAGTCTGAGAAGTGGACGGCTTCGTGGGTGCCGTCCGCATGAGGGACGTTGAGGAAAAACACTGACCCCGCGGGGTGGTCCTCGATGAGCCGCTTCAGACAGGGGATGAGCAGGTTGACGAAGAGGTAGTGCTCCGGGGTGCCTGTGTGGTGTCGGGTGAGTGACCGAGGCGCGAATACGTTGAGAGGAAGGACTGACCCTCGGGCAATCGCGTCAGGGTCCAACTCATGCTCTGGGTATCTTCGGCGGTGCTGGGGTGATTCAGGTTGAAGTGGGAGCCGAGTCCGAACGCGGCGATGAGGACGAGTAGGTAGAAGGTTCCTGTGGGAGGTCGTGAGTGAGGGTGCGTACGTCACGAAAATGTAGAGACGAACCGGCATGGGCGTGGATGAGGAGCTTGAGCCCCTTGTTGTTGTATCGCTGGAACTTGGATACATCGAGTTTGTGGTTTTTCGCGACGGCGGCGGTCGGGAGGGGCGGGTCTTTGGGGTTGGCGGCCCGGTGCTGCTTTTTCTCCCTGTACGTGGGGTCAGCTCAGCGGAGCAGGAAGGGAGAACGAGGAGGGAAGAAAAGACTTACAGGTCCACCCACAGCGAGAACTCGATAAAGGTGACGAAGTTGAGGAATGTGACCACGCCTATGGCACGCTCGGAGTCGTTGCATTTCTGGAATGCTTCTCGCAGGCTGTTCGAAGGGGGTTTAAACTTGAGCGCTGGAAAGGTGTCGAGAGACATGAGATGGGTTGCGGACGTTCGCGAGGTAAATCCAAGGCCTACCGTATTGTCTTTCTATCTTGGACAGGGAGGACACGACGCTGTCGAGCTCGCTCATGCTGTTTTCGATGCCCCAGATGAGCTCGACCAGCAGGCATGACGCCTCTTGCGTCAACGCCCTGTATCTGGTGACGGGCCTCCACCCCACCTTTTGCCCGTTGGTCCTGGTTTGGAGAGGCGCGGGGGCTGGGAGGATCGCGTCGTCGTCGATGTAATCTTCGTCGTCGTCGTCCTCGGGGACGTAGTCGTCGTCGTCGTCTGCGGGGGGGATGTTATTTTCGGCGTTGACGCGCTCCTCGAGCGCCCTCCTGCTGGCTCGCGGGTTGGTCCTATCCCGCGTGCTATTGCGCATGCAGGACCTGTTGGAAGGCCTGGCGGGGTCTCCGTTCTGTCCTCCGCCTCTCACTTGGCCACTGGAAGCGACGGTGGGCTGGCTGGTGGAGCTGTGGCCGGTGCGGGCGCCCTGGGAGTTTCCCAACGGAAAGGCGTCAGCGTTTGGGCTTTCGCTGTTCGGGTCCATGGTGCTTACCTTCGACCTGACGGCGTTCGGGGACGCCTCTTCCGAAATCGGGTGCAAGGCGCTTTTGGGCAGAAGGCAGGAGGAGGTGCCGGACGATGAGCGGTTGACGAGGGTGGAGGCTTCCGAGTAGACGGAGCTGTCCCTGGATGACGGACGATTGACGATGGTGGACGTCGCGGAAGAGAAAGAGGCCTTCCTGGAGGCTTGAGAACGCGTGACGCGTGTTGTCTGGACGGAGCGGGGAGGGGTTTGGGGTGCTAGACTGGGAGAACGGGACGCCAGTCGGATTTCATCCAGATTTTGCGCGAGGGTCGCGTGAACCTCATCTCTCAATGAGATATCTTCATCCTCGGGCTCAGCGAGGGCCAAAGTCGCCAACAAGAACTCGAGCTGCGTCTCCGAGAGCCGGAGCAGCGCCATACGGGAAACGAGAGTGAGATAAAATAAGAAGAAGAACAAAAGAGTGCGAGATGAGCCCCGACGCGTGCAGAAGATGACTGAGGGAGAGAGTCTAATCGACCTAACACCAAGGATCACCCGCACCGCAGGCGACTTGGTTGTGGTAGAGAGGAGAGGCCAGTCGGTGCGGGGAGAGAGCTGGCGGGCGCGACGAACATCCGGACATTGCCGTGATTACGTAATGGGCAGCTCACGCGTGAGCTCAAGGCGCTCTCTTCCTCTGTGGCCCCTCTCTCGACGCTGGCTTTGGCTCTCTGTCCGTCTGGGCTTGGACTCGGTCTACGCATGGCCGGGAGCGGTGCTCCTGGTCCATGTGCGACGATAGTGAACGAAAAATGTCGGTACCTGAGATCGGCCGATCGGCGCGGGCGGGTTCGACTTGTCTTGGGTTCGACTTGACTTTGGACTTGGACGATTTGACTCGGTCTGCGGGCTTTGAGATCTAGGGGGTGAAATATGGTTCTGAGGGCTAGGTTAAAAGGCTGGGGTGGTGGAGGGTGGTATCGCTGTCGTACCTGCATGGATCCCCCGGATAACTTCTTGGGCGAGTTGTGTTTTCCCTCACCACCGAAAGGTCCGGTGAGCGAGGAGGATAATGGAAGGCGTTATGTGTTGAAGCCTGTCATGGACATGGACGGTGCGTGTCTCGTCGGGCTCAACGTCTGCTTGTGCGTCTGACGGGTGAATAGCCGTGTTGGAAGCTGAGGAACTAGGTACACCTCCGAATGTGGCGACCGATACACCAGAGGCTTTGTGCGTGGCTTTTCGAAAGGTCCGAGAGGCCCGACGGACGGTGGAACTGGAGGATGAGGTAGAGGAGGACTTGGATCTTGGCGAGGATGAGGGTGACGGGGCTCGTCTGTGGGTTAGAGAGAGCTTAGAGCTATGTGGCAAGGTGGGGAATAGGTTGAGGCGTTTGAGGGAGAGGGGTGAGGCGAAGATCGAAGGGAGGGACTACGAGATGCCGACGAAGGAGGAGAAGAGGGTGGAGGCGTTCCGATGGAAGGTGAGGACTCGTTGGATGAGGGATTGGTTGGTAGGGGCGAAGCAGGAGATCATGGAGGATGAAGAGAGGAGCGAGGAGTTGAGGCCGTTGTGGTTGGGAGCGTACGAGCGGTGCGTGATAAAGAGGATGGACAAGGCGGAGGAAGCGAGGGTGATCCGGTTCGTGGACGCTTTCCCAGGCAGGGATGAGAAGGACTGGCCGGTGGAGAACGCTTCGACGATGGATGTGGCGAAGCATCGGTTAGCGACGGTGCTGGGCCACGAGATGCTGGGGTTGAATGAGGATGGGAAATGGGGAAAGGAGAAGGAGAAGGAGATTGTGGAGCGTTGTAGGAGTGCGATGACGGGGTGGGATGCGCGTGAGGTGCTGCAGGACGAAGAGTTGGGAGCGAAATGGTCGAAGGTGGTGGGAGACGGGGGCGTATGGGATGTGTTGGATTCGGACGACAGTACGGCGACTGAGCTGTCGGAGGTGGACCCGGAGGAAGGGCTAGAGGGAGGAAGACATTCGGAGTACGGCTACCCTTACTCGGTGAGTCTGTGATCGGTTCTTGTGGGGCGGTGTTTGACGCATCAGCAGCTGCAGGGGTTAGAATGGGATGAGGTGTTCACGCTGAGGGAGACTGTTCGGGCGGACGGCGAGAAGGTGGAGGAGAATGTAGGCGAGGAAGTAGGCTCGCGGAAGAGAAAGGCGCAGAAACGGCAGGGTGATGAGGCTACTGGGGTGATGGGAAGGCCGAGGAAAGGGGACGTGTATGACGAACTCGGTTTTCGTCGTGGTGGGAGCAGGAGTCGAAGGAAAAGGGCTAAGGTGGTGTCGGCGGCGGAAGTGGTGAGTCAAGAGTACGATTAGCCTGGTTGGGATTTCGTGAGGTATTACCAGAATGGCGCCGTGTTCAGATCTCATGAATCAGAAACGTCGATAGAGCGAGAAAGCGGCGCTCCGTTAAAATGTGTTTTCTTTCATGCGCGATGCAGTTCACGCAGCACACAGATGAGGAACGCGTAAGGATGTTTGTTTGCACACGTCTACATGAGCCTTTACACGAGTCTACGCTAGCCGTTGCATGAGCCTAAGTGAACCGGTACCCGCGTCTAAGCAGGCGTTCCACGCGTCTACTCTATAATACCCTCTTCAAAAATCCACAGCAGGAGCTCGAGAATCCAACTTTCGCACTGATCGTCCACATTGGTGAAAGTCACCAGGAAGTTTCGATATTCGACCGCTGTCGCCCAGGCGCTGCTCAGGCCACATCGATGGGCCCATCGCTCCCGCAAGTCCTGCATCTGGTATACGGCCCACGCCATGGGCAGGAGGACGTCGAGATACGATTTTTCGCAACCTATCTGGACGTCTCCTGGGTGGAGATGCTTCTGCCCGGACGGGAGGTGGCACTTCCAGCATATGCCTTTGTGTGGCCCGGCGAAGTCGTAGCTGAGAGGTTTCGGTTTGCTCTTCCAATTGAGGAAATTGGAGGTGCGGAGGTGCGGAGTTGCGGAGTCATTCATGAGGGGGCAGGTGAGGAATAATTCGTGGCGGGCGTGTTGGGGTTGATACCGAGGAGGACGATGGTGAAGGGTGCAGATGACGCATCGGGTGCGAAGGGCGTCCATGCACGCTTGAATCCGGTTCCAACGTTCACGATCTTTCTCCTCGGCTGCATGAAGACGTTGGAGGTTGGCGAGGAGGGCTTCTTGAGGTGTGGAAATCATGCGGCCTTGGTAGCTGTCTATCGGGAACTTGGCCTGAAGACGGTACTGTTCGGGCGTGAGCGGGCTAACATCGCCTCGAAGGTCGAAGACGGTGATGTTGGTGAGGAGGGCGACTCGGCGTTGACCTGTGAGCCCATTCTGGTCCGCAATTTTGCATCGGCTGCACTTCTCATGCGCTTCGGTGCACAGAACGCCTTGACCGTCGATGTAAAAGGTGACGGCGAAGCGGAGGCAGGCCTCTTTGTGCCGATGCGCGGCATCGTGGAGGGGTCGGTATCCCTGAAGGTCGCCTTGACCTGGTTTCAGGCGAGAACCGTTCTCTTGAGACTGGATGGTGATCATGTCACAGCGAGCGACGAGATCGTCCCTTCTGCCCCCGCGATTCGTCTGTTGGTGATACGCGATGAAGCCGTCAGGTAGGGTGCCGTGGAGGACGGTGACGAGGCTGCTGTTGTCGTTTCCTTCCCCATACGCTCCGGTGGCGACTAGGATGTTGCAAATGTCCAGTATGGATTTCCAGAGATTGAGTATCTTGAGGCGTTCGATGAGGGCTTCCTCGTACGCGGCCTGGTTTGCGACCTTTCCAGAGTAGTAGAAGTGTGCGTTGAGGACCCTGGCAAACTCGCGTCCTTCTTGGATCGTCCTGACGAAGCAGACGTGGAGCGATTGGGGTCGCTTGGGTGCCGGTATGGAGGTGATGGAGCGCTGCATGAGCCGCGGAGCGAGTTGGATGGCTTCATGAAAGTTGGCGACGTGATGGGTGTTCAGGGAGAGGCGGGGGTTGTCGGCGGAAGTGCGCCAGATGTAAGGCGAATCCGTGAGACCGAACGCAGCGGCGAGCAAAGGGACCATCTCTGGGGGCGTGGAGCCGCTCAAGAGCATGATGGTCTGGTCCTCGCGCCACCTGAGACTGTACATCCTGCGAAGCGCTGGACGGAAGTGTTCGTCGAGGAGGACACGATGGGCCTCATCGAAGCAGATCCGGAGCACCGGGACATACTCTTCGTACTTGGATATCGCCTTGCGAAAAGCGTGAGTGCGACACTGATCCGCGGAGACGATGACGAGCCTCTGATGATAGTCGAGGGGTTTGTCCTTGGTGAGGGAGGAGTAGGTGGTGAAGCCCACGCGGAAACGAGTGAGCTTCTCCTGGTAGTCTTCGATGAGCGAGTGGAGAGGGAGAATGATGAGGGTGGCGGTGGTCTCCAGCCTGCTTAGGAAAATGGGGATGAAGCTTTTCCCGCCACCGGTGGTGAGCAAGATGATGGCGTCTTGGACGTTCGTGCGCAGAGTCTGGACGATGTCGAATAGTTCCTGGGTCGGGATTTTGGCCTTGGGGTCTTTAACCATCGAACGGAACCAACGGGTGCACATGTCGGGAATGTCTCGAGGCTGGATCGGGCGTTGTTTCGTGTGGGGCTGCTGCGCCGGTAGTTGAACCCTCCCGCTGAGCGGGACAGAATATACCAGCGCGGGGCGTTTGGGTGCTGTTGATGGAGCGTCAGGAGTTGGGTTTGGCTGGCCATTTTTCAATGGAACGTACCATTCTCGTGGCTCTGGCCTGTGTCAGCTGGCGTGAACGGCGACCTGATCCGGTTGTGAGGGCGAGGGGCTGTTGTGAGAAGCATGCGGTGAGACGGTGGTGAGTGAGTGCAGGTGCGAAGGGGTTTACCTTCAACGTTTGAATGGGCGTTTGCATCACGAACGGGTTGGCGCTGTTTTGAGGTGGCAGTCGAACTCTCTGTTGGGCAAAGAGTTCAGACGAGAGGGCGAAAGGATGACGCGAGATGGTACGCACGTAGGACTGGAAGTTGGGCTCGAGCGGTTCGCTCTGGGGAGGGTTCGAAATAGGGATCTGAGGAGGAGTGAGTGACGGAGACGGCGAGGTCAGAGTGGTGACGTACCATATTGGGATCCTTGATACAACATGTCCATTTCCTCGTCCGCTGAGAGAGTGGCATCATCGAGGGGAGCTGTGGAGGAAGAACCAGACGGGAGAACGTTTGCATGGGCTGTACCTGATTCAGTTCAGCAAACGGGGTATGCGAGAGGAGAGAAAATGAATCACCTTGCGTCGAAGGGTCCGGAGGGGGGGCGTCGGACAATGGGTCGTCATCGGCGTCTTCTTCGTCTTCTTCGTCTTCACCTCCTTCAGAGACCTCTACGTGGGAGCTCGAATCGGATGTGTGGTCGTCTTCCATGGCTTCCTGGAGGAACTCGGGTTGAAGTTCATCGAACAGGCCCTGCGCCAGATCTGGCTGAGAGCCGTCAGTGTCGTCATGTCCTTCGTGGGATGGGTCTGAGGGGTCCGAATCTTCAGCGGCTTGACTTGCGTGGGCATTGGAGTCGACGTCGTCATGAGTGAAGTGGGTTTCGGGAGAAGGGAGAGGGGAGGGCATCTCTGTGGCGTCGACTTGTCGCAGGTTGGCGGCGATGATGGGTGCGAGGGTGTCGGATACGATGGATTGGATGGTGGTGGTCAGTGCAGGAATGAGGTCGACGAGAAGTGTCTGGCTGAGAAGTCGGAGGTCCAGATTGAGCTCCGGTTGCCTGGAGGGGGGTTGCATGGCGGGATTGAGGTCGGGCATGGTACGGTATTCATTGGATCTGACCCATTGACCGGCTACGATAAGAAGTCAGCATGAGGGTGAGGTAGAAGAGGGGTGAGGTGGAAATCGGGGGATGTGAACGTTAGGGCACGTGTGTAGCGGTTCCGACATCACGAGAACGCGAGGTGAATAGACCCTGTGGGCGAGTGGTTTGTGTCTGGTTGGAGACATCATGTACCACCGTGGAGGATGAACGGTGGGACGGTGTCCACAGCGGGACTCTGAACTGAGCGTGAATCGAGCGCGGTTGGAGCACATACACGAAGATGATGAACCAAGATTGTCATTGAACGAGATGTACGAGACCGAAGTAAACCGCTACATATGTGCCCTATTGTTTTGACGAATTGGCTTGCGTGAAAAAGGAGACCTACCGGGTGGGAGCCCCAAGGTCTTGTGCCACGCGATTCCATGCTCTATCATCTTTGGCACCTCCTCCTCTGGCATGTAGAGCATTCCCGATGCGCTTATGGCGTACCGGTTGCGATCTGCCCAGCGAGAATGACCCATGGTGTGGGCCATGAGGTCGATGTGATCCCCTTCCTCGTCTGCGGATTCATCGGGCTCGTAGTTCTTGCACCAATGCCGACGGAAGGCACTGTTGACCTGACGAGTCTGTGCGACGCCACAGTTTGCCTGGGAGTGTTTCCACAGATGTTGGCGAAGGAGCGCGGTGACGTCGTCGGCGGTGAAGGCGGACAAGTGGTTGATGAAGATGTAGTTGTGGTAACGGTGACGAAGCTCATCGTCGCCCGGGTAGACGACGGAGATGAGGAGCTCAACGAAGGGCCTGATGACTATGAGGTTCTGGACCATGATGTCGGCCCAGACGGAGGAAAAAGGACGGCCGACGAGCTTGTCCCGACCGGTGTTGGCGCTCTGCTTCACGTAACTCGTTACGAGCAGGAGGACTGAGTTGTAGGCGACGATGCAGCGAGAGTGGGCGCCGGACGTGTTACGGTAGAGGCAATGGGCGAGTTCCGGGATGCGAGGGGACCCGCTTGCGGCGAACGTGATGTAGATGACGCACAACTGGTTGAGAAGGACGTAGTGGCGTATGTAAGCCCTGCACGAGTTCTGATCCCAGATCGCGACACCGTCTGGGTTGCAAGAGAAGATGAAGCGGTTCTTGAGCTGGGGATGCTTGAGCACCGCCCTGAGCAACCGCTTGGGGTCGCGAAACTCGGGGGGGTTGGCTGGATGGTCGCCGAACCAGTAGCCGTTGGTGGTGTTGGACAGGTTGTCCGCGATGGAGTCGTATTCGACGCGGAGCTTGACGAGGCCGAACAGAAGTCGATCGTGGAGGACTTTGACGGCGTTTTCGGTGAGCTCCTTCAGGGCGCGCCTGATCTCGACGAGGCTGAGGTGTTGACCCTCTATCTTGAGCGAAAGGCGATCGGTGAGGCTGGGCCATATGATGTTGGGGAGTTTGGCCGTGTTCTTGATGACGGTGGATGCGAGGTGGGTGATTGCGCGGGCCGTGGCGAGGGTGAACGGTTCACCTTCGCTGAGGTAGGAGGCGTTGCGAAGGTAGCACTCCCACTGGCTGTTGGTGCGGCGTATCGCAGCCTCGTGAACCGTAAGCGTGTCGTCAGGGACGTCGTCCATCTCCGTCACGATCTTGGACGCGATGGTGATTCGGACGAGGTAGGTGAGGTGAGCGATGAAGGCTGAGATGCCGCTGAGATCCTTCCACGATCCGTCTGCGTTGAGGTGGTAGACGACCATGAAGTGGATGGTGGGGTCGTAGATGACTGCCCCGGCGGAAGAGGGCCAGGGATGTGTCCATAAGGCCAAGAGGAGAGCGTGGATGCGATCGTGGATGATGCTTGCGGACGCATCGGCCTCGATGGACTCGAAGAGCCGTTCGGTATGGGTGGTGACGAAGGCTGGGTGTGGAGGATGGTTAGGAAATCCGGGCTTGTCGGCGTGGAGGTAGCCGATGAGCGAGACGGCGACGTGCTCGTATCTGGCGAGGGTGGCCTCGGACTGGTGGACTTTCAGCCGTTGGCGGGAAAGGGGTATCCTGTGGTGAAAGAGATCAGCTTCTGCATGTAGAAGGGCGACAAGACACGAGGGACTGACCTCTCTGGGTCCTCGCTGATCAGCCGTTGATTGACCCGATCGTCGATCTTGTCCAAGTTGGACTCGCAAACGGCGAAGTACCCATGGACGTGGCGCTTGAGCTCTTTCCAAATCGTGTGGGCCTGGATGGCGTTAACGACGTGCTTCGGACTGCAGCCTTCGATGTGAATGTCCCATTTGAGGCTGCGGAATAAGGGATGCGTCGCTTGGGTGGCGTTGGCGATGGCGAGTTCGTTGGTGTGGGCGTCTTGGAGTCGGTCGAACTGCTCCAAGGCGGGATGACGAAAGGAAGACGGGAGATGGCCGCGAGGTACGACGGGGAACAAGTTGCGGTCGGAACCGGGTGCGTGAGTGAATTGCTGGCATGGTCTCCAAGTGGCGGTGGCCGCTTTGAACCTGGGCCTGGAGGAGCCCTTGTGCGCTGTGTTGAAGTGACCGCGGAGCGAGTCGCCGCTGGTTCTGTGGACTAGGCAGCCGTCGAAGGTGCAAGGAGTTCCGCTGACGGTCTGAATGCCTTCGAAAGCTTCGACGATCTGGGTCGGGACGGGAGGGTGATCAGGGACGAGGTCGTGCTTTTGCTGGAGAACCGGTATGACGTCGTCGAGGGCGGTTTTGAGGAATCCGTGCGTATTGATGTGGCCTCCGATTGTGTGCAAAGGTACGACGGCCTCGCAGCTTATGCAGATCACGGCGTGGAGCACGGTGTTGATGACGAGGCCAAACGACTCGAGGGCGGAGTCCACCAGGAGCTGGAACGGGATTGGGTCAGCTTGGAAGCGAGTTGCTTGGCCATCTTCGTGACGTACCTGAGTGGATTGCTGTATCGTTGGCTCGTCTTCATCATCCTCATCCGCTGGGTGTGCGGGCTGCGTGAGGAAAGGGATATGTTTGCTGCGTGAGCTCGGGAACGGAAGACTTCTCTGGTTTAGAGTGCGTACCTCTGTGGGTTCTGGGGTAGTAGGTGCTTCTTCCGGGTGACCGTCAGATGCGGGAGGATCCTGGGTGAGGTCGTCAGAGTTCGGAACGAGATGAAGAATGAGTAAATGACTGACCGGAGAAGGCGCACGCAACGGAACAGGATCGTGCTGCTCAGGTTCTCGAGGCCGTTTGCTTGATAGCCGTCGAGACTTGGGACGATGAGAGGAGCTCGGGTTGGGTTCGTCTGAGGGCCCAGGTTCCTCGGCTTTCCTTTTGCTTGCGCGTTTCATTTTCTGATCGTGCCCGGTATGAGGAGAGAACGAAGCGGAAGCGATGGCAGAGTGCAAGACTTACGAAGATGGTTTCGTCGGAGACGTTATGGTTGCTCGACGGCGTCGAAGGACCAACTCAGAGTGCCACAGTGAGGGTCCTACGGCGGGGTAGACGAGATGGCGAGAAGTGGGGGATAAACGGACGTCGAAGAGGATTCGAGGACGGAATACTGGTCGGGAGGATACGAAATTGAGGTAGGCGCGGCGAAGAGGGTGGGGTTTACGCGGGAGGAGGCACAGTTGGAGGAGGTGCGGGGCGTGTTCTGGAGCGCGAGTTGCATGCGTTGAGGTCGGGGATTTCGTATGTCGGACGGCTGGGTGGTAGTGAACGGTATGACGGTTTGTCTTGGCGAGGTCCCGACCGAATTGAACGCAGAAAGGGAGCTGGAAGATCGTAAAGAGGGGGAACCGGGGAGTGGGACGGCGCCACAGGCTTCGTGTGGCACCGCAGCTCACCGGTGAGCTGCTTACGTGAGCTGTAGCCTGAGGAGAACGTGAGGCCCTGAATTTATCCGGAAGAAACGGACGGAGTAGCTGGAAGTTGCTGAAGATGAAATGATGTCCAGAGGAAAGCTTAGGTTTTTGGGGTGACGGTATGGCTGGAATTCCATGGATCGAGACAGACGACGGCGTTTGGGAGCGCCGGGATGAGAGACAGCGGGTGAACGTAAGAGAGAGAGACCGGTTCGGAATTGGGAGCTGGTCATAGCGCTGAAAGGGGAGTCGGTTGGACGCTCGGAAGGTGCTGCACCGGTGGAGGATATGCAATACGGGTCGATTGGATAAAAAACAGACGAGAAAAAAGAAGAAAAGCCAGGGCCGAGTTCGACGGAACGGCAGGCTGGAGCATCGTCACCGACGATGACCAGCGAGAACCTGTCAGAACGCTTTAGCCGGCTTAGAGGCCGCTGCAGAGGATGGAACGTATACAAGAGGTGGTGGAAGGGGGAGAGCGAGTGCGGACAAGGTAGACGCGCACGTGGACCCGACCGAGTTTGGAAGGTGGGAAGTGTGGCGCTCAGCGGGAAGAAGCGCTGAGGCAAAGTTCTGCTCGAGTTGGAGACGGCGATGGGAACTTTGGCTCATCGTTGGGTTGTGGTGTTGGTGCTTAGTCCTCGAGGAGATAGAAACGAACGGTTTTCACAAATCACGCAAGACGAGAAGGGGTGTGGCATTTGTGATTGCGCATAACACCGACGAAACGATGTGCTACTGGACTGTACTCTAACGGGTACAACTACGGAGCACTTGCGAATCTACTCGAAGCGTCAACATTTTGCTGTGGGATGATCGAATTTGAGCATGATTTCATTCGAGGGAGTCAGAGGTCTACGTACCGATCAGATATCCTCCCATCGGGGCTGCGAAGGACGATTGACACGACATGGAGGTGGGGGGTGCTTGAGAGAGAGAGAATAAGTGAGCTTCGCCCTGTAGGTGAAGTAGTACTCTGCGCCGGCCGACAAGTTCGTAAGGGCCCATCGAATTCTGCCGATGAGTCTGGTGCTGACCGTCCAGGGATCGTAATGTTGAAAGTGGATGAGGAATTCGGGGTTGTCTGGCTCGGATATTCCGTTCAGGTAGCCTAAGAGGGTCACCTCCCTGATGCCGTTGGCGAGGGCGAGTCGATCTTGGCATATTGGGCGTAATAAGTCTCGGAGAGACGGGTCCCACTGCAGGGCATACATGTTGGACCAGTCGATGACCCTTTGGTCGATTGGGATCTGGTACGCGTCGGGAGAGTCCTCCGTGATGGCCTGCGAAGGAAGGTGAGATGGGAAGGGTCGTGCGTAGGGTCGGACTTACGTTTTTGAGGAGGGTGGGAGGGGTGAAGGGACCAGGGAACTGCGCGCTTGGATCGAGAGGCAAATTGACCAGCTGCCTGAGCGAGGACTGCGCTGGGTGAGTGGGAGGGTGTGTGGCGAGATGCGTGGAGTTATACGTACTGAAGGACCAGTGGGACGCTGAGAGTATTGGGTGAGTAGAATCGGGAAGAGGAGTACGAGTCGAACGCGTACCGGGGGAAGCCATTTGCAATCCATGTCGTCGTGGATGTCCTCGAGTAAGCGGACGAGTCGTTTTTCCTGTAAGAGCCGTGAGTGTGTGATGGAGAGAGGACATGTCTCTACGTGCTCACGCCGTACGAGTGGTTGTAGTAGGGAGGCCTGTGGGGTGGTCGGCCCGAGTCGTCGGAATCGGGCTGTAGAACAGGACGTTGAGTGAGCAAGAGAAAGGGAGAACGGATGAGCAAGACAGGGAGAGAGAGGGCATACGGAAGGTGGGGGGTCATATGAGCAAGGTGGGGGGTCCATGACGAAGGTGGAAGGCGAAGGAGGGAATTTTTGGGGGAAAGGAGAGGGAGGAGACGAGTCGGCGGTCGTTTTGAGGTTGTCGGAGGCGTGTGGCGTGGGCCACATCACCGAGGGAGCTCACGCGTGAGCTGGCCTGGCGGTGTTCGGTTTTCCAGTCGACTGGGCCCGAGTTGTGTGTGAGGGATTTTTGCGACGCGTGTGGTGCAAATCATTGAAGCGAGAATGGATCGGGTGAGGGATCGAGTGATGACAAAAATCAAAAAAAAAAGAAGAGAGAGAGAGAGGAGAGAAAGGGAAAAAGGAGGGCGTTGGTAAAGGCGGAAATGAACGAAATGGAAGAGGTTGCGGCATCGGGGATCTCGCCAAACTGTCGATTTGTTCCTTGGTAGAACGAGCGAGGAGATTGGGTAGGCAAGGGTGACAAATCGGCGTTTGACGACAGAGGACGACGTTGCGCCTGCCACCGTTGAGTTTGGTACGAACCAGAAGGTCCACTTGTCGACGACGGAGGGGTGGATGTGAGTGAGGTGCGATATGTTGGCCAACGGGCACCGCCCGCTGCCACATCTGAACGCGAGCGGACAAGAGAGGAGGAGGAGAGCGGAGAGAGGAACGGCGCCAAAGGCGCGAGGTGCGCACCACAGGCCGGGGCCGGAACTATCCGGTCGACGCGGAAGTGCCTGAGTTAGACGCTCTCTGCTTATACGTTCTCGCTCACACGACTTCACCGCGTCCAGCTGAATCTCGACTTCGTGCTGTGTCTTGGGCTCTCTTCGTCTGCGGTTTCGCCTCGATCTCATCGTGTCTTGTTCTCTGGTTGTCTTTGCTTGTCGGGTTCGATCCCTTTTGCTGCTTGACGGTGTTCCCTGCTCGTTATCGGTGAGTTCCTGGCCTTGGTGGAGGACGACGAGGGAGGTCACTTGCGGTGCAGGTGTTCCTCCTGGAGTCTTGTTCATGTGGAAACGTTGTTGATGGGTGTGGTAGATGAGTTCCAAACTCACACAAGAGGAAGTGGACGCCGGTGCGAAAACGTACTTGGAAGAGGCGCGTCGAAGGATAAAATTGAAGGCCGACGCCGCCGAGAAGGAGAAGAAGAAAAAGGAGAAGGCTGCGAAGGACGCCGGAAACA